TAGAATTTATTAGAAATGAATTAAAAAATTTAATAGATGAAAGAACGATGATGTAAATCATGAAATTACACTTGTAAATGTTAACCATCAACTCTCCATAACTTCTTCCTTGTTAGTGTTGTATAATTTTCGGCGTAAGAATGAATCTCACGTCATGCTGTAATTTACAGGGACCATCAGCAAGTAAGGTAAAATCAAAAGAATTTGTTGAAATCAAAAAACCAAATCTAAGAAAGAGACAATACCTAAAGCAAAAATTACGACAGAAACAAGTAAAAAGGTGAGCATGCTTTTTTGGTGTCAGTCAGTAAACCAGAAGGTAATGCTCTGTAGCTTGTGTCACCATTTTTTTTCCAAAAAACCGTGCAGTCTTCACGCATATTACAATGACATCATAAATTTAAATATATTAATTGAAGTTTTTTTTATCTGACATGTTCATGGAATTTTCAAAATTTCCTAAGCTAAGTTTCAGAATTTTACGATCAAATCTAATCAAAATTAAGTTTACTGAGCAGTTCCATTTTTCCTAGTATGACCAGTTTTGAAAATTTTGATAAATACTTTCTAAAATATGCTTAAAATCACCTTTTTGTTTCATTTACAAATCATTTCCTAATATTATCAGGGATCGGGATCCAGAAAGCGAAAAGTGGAATCTGGTGATACTGACAATAATGATGATGATGATGATGATGATGGTGCTGATATCGCTGCTGAACCAGCTCTTTCACATCCTCGTGCAGGAAGTCGGCAGCGTAAGGCAGTTAAATACACCTTCGATGATGATAATGATGATGATAGTGATAACATTCCTGGATTGTCTGATAGTACACCACCACACCAGATGAAACGGCGAAAGAAGATTGAAAGCGATGAGGAATTTGAGTTAAGCAGCTAAGAAATCCTTCTGCCAAACTGTCGAACTAATCCGTGGTCTGTTATAGTAATAAACGCCATCCATTGATTAATCCTACTTTTTGTCCATCTCTGTGCATTTAAACCACGATGACTGAGAGTTATTTAACGATTACTACACCTGCAGTTTTATTGATTATCTACCTTTTCGTACCTCGTTTATATTCACTTTGACATCAGCAGTTTGATCTTATTTGAGTTTGTTATATACATTTTTATTTGAAATAATGTCAACCTAATTATGATTTCGTTTTTACACTAAGACAACTTTATTTGGTCTCACTGTCATGTAGCAGTTTTACGTGTTGAATAATTCAGAACAAAATAGTTTGTTCCATATCTCTTAGTTCCTGTATATATATAGTTTGTTTTTGATCGTTTCATTCTCTGCGATTTTATCCAGTATGTTTCTTTTTCTAAGAGCTTTTTTTCACGTTAATCGATATCGTTCTTCTGTGTGCATGATGTAACAATAACAATGTTTCATCCCCTATACTTTAGATGCGCAACTATTAAAATGAGGCTTTTTCAACTTCGTCATTTTGCCTTTTTTTTTTTTTGAGCAAATGAAAAAAACATAATACTTGTAGAAGAGCAGAAAATGACTACTAAATGGAAGCAGTGTGGGGCAGTTGTGAGAAATTTCTATAATGACATCAAATACTTGTTTAAGAGCGAAAACTGAGATGACACTACGGATCGGATTTTAGGTATGTCGGAGCTGGGAAACCATACAGTTGGAAGTTTCGTCCAGAAACTGATATAGCCATTCTTCGCCATTTGAGGATGGGAAAATGGTGGAATAAGTACGTGGAGATTTCAAATCGATCAAGGAGACATTGCTGGACGCTTATTGCGTAATAGCAGACGGTTTGAGCAATCAAAGGTTTAACTAGAAGAAAAGAACAGGTAAATGGGATCAAAAGTTTGACTTGTAGTTGTTTCATGCTGGTTATGAATTGTGCACCTTACAAAAGAATCCATGCATAATGTCCTAAGTAGATAGAGTAGAGCACAGGCCTAGGCATAAGGATGTAAGCACAGAAGTCCGTGATTATACAGAAGTTTTTCGAGAAGAGAAAAGCGGCAAACGGAAAAGGAAAAAAAAAGGGAAACTTCCAATCCAGACTGAAGTTACCAGATCTGTGTTGTAATTAAGCGCAACGCAACTTTTGATGACAACACCGCCAAACGTAAGATTGAGCGATTTAAAGTAAGCTTAAGCTTGTCAGAGTCTCAGATATCTTATTCAAGAAGTCTACATTTGGAAGCCTTTACCAAAAACTGTCGAAATTGTCAAGAAGGAAATTGGTTTTTGTTTTGGAGTCAAAATGAAGTCTTGAACTTTGGAAGCTGGAAGTTCATTGCAGTAGACTAATACTTTTCGGTCCTGGTCATTCATTGAAAGCATGTAATTCAAATGTATGACTATTATAACAAGTTTGCTTCCCATCTTCTGAATTAGAACCTGTACTTGTGATGGACTTGCCAAACACTGGAATAACTCAGCAGTTCTTTGCGCTGTGTAATTCTGAATGCTGTCAATGTAAGTTTTGGGGATTCTAAACTGCCTTTTTATATTTACTTTTGTTTTACAAATATTTCAGATAACTTGTTATTCGAAGCTCTTTAACGTTATTTAGTCGTTAGCGGGACAATTGACAGGATACTGAGGTTTTAGAGTTGTTTCTTGTTAAGCTGACCAAAAGGAAAACAAAAACAAGAAATTAAAATTGAAGCTTTATATCAAAGTGTATGGCTGATTGTCATTCGGTATAGCATATTATCAAGTATCTGAGCAGTTAAATAAACGCGCAATTTACGAAGTCATATTTTTAAATTGATTTCTATCTATCCATAACTGCGTGAAACGCAGTTCGGTGAAGCATATTCAGTAAAAAAAATTCGGAGGGACGACTATCAAGTTGAAATACTGGATTACTACCGCTTACCTGTTTATTTGAATCCGAAACAGCACTGGAGCTGGCTAGCAACAATAGCACTATTGGAAATTTAGCGATCATTTTGACTGACAGATGTATGCTGTTACTTGAAAACTCAAATTGGAAATAAGTTTCAATATTTTAACAATGACTGATTTTCCCTTCTCTTTTGTTCTCTCATTCTTTTTTGTTTTATACAATTGAAATAATGAATTTGAAATGTCTATAGATTAACTGATGAACAAAATGAAAGAAAACCTAAACCAGTCATTAACGATTGAAGCCTTTAAGGTCTAAAGCTTGCATAATGAATTAAGTGGTTTGAAACAGACGGCTTTTCCGAAGTGTTAAGAGAGGCGACTGTTGATATCATGATGCAATAGCAGTACAAATTTTAAGTCTTCATTTAATGAGATGAGCAACTATTGAATGAACCCCTCATATCAAGCAACCATTAAGAAGGAGAGGAAGCATGAGAAAATTCTTGAAGAATGAAAATTTTAAAGGATGATGGAAACTGGATGTGAAAGCTGCATCGAATGGAGCATAACATGATGGGGAAAAGAAGCTGAAGTGCTAGAGAGGAGAATTCGTCGAAAATTAGGCAAATGGAGTGGAAAATGAGTTTCAGATTATTTGTATATACAAGGAGAATTACAAATTAGCATTCAGTTTGCTGATGTGAAGTGCACTTTCTAAGTTGTAAATGGGATATCTGAAACACTGGTAAACTCTGATTTAGTATCCAATCGAAGGATAAGTGGGATGATTCTAATGAAATTCAATTTAAACTTGACTCGAGAGAAGAACCGATCATAGTGCAGGAATAATTCTTCTCTTGCATAGCAATTTTATCCTTTTCGCAAAACAGTGTTTTCATCAGGTGACATGTCTGTATCCAATAAACAAGATTTACTGCTTAGCAGCTCACAACTAGAAGATTACAGTTCTGCACTTTAAATTACTTTAACAGGAGCGCCTATACACACACGATGCTATTCTCACTGCAAAAATAGTACCACATGGATGAAATACTTCTGCACCAACCCGAACATATTATCACAAAATAAGTCATAGTAATCCAGCGAATCCATGAAAAACATAGCAAACATTGTTCAAACCAGAGCTTTGAAGTTGGTTTGCCAAATTTTCATGGCGTAGCCGTACGCAACAATGTTGTGTTATTAAAACTTGCCTGTTGCAAAGATTACTATCTCCATGTAATATAAGTTCGGCAAAATTTCCGACGTTAAGTAGAAAGAATACGATCAAATTTCTTTAGATATTTGTAGTGGGAAGTATACGTTTGGTAGTATGTGACATAAAGATGATTACATTTCATATTTTATTTTTTGTGCTAAATGCAGAAAAGAAATGATACTTACATGCGTGTGTCTTCTAATATCATCCAAAAAAAGTAATTTGAATAGACGATCTCTGCTTATGTGAATTCTATATTCAGGTTTAGAAGTAAATATTTAAGTAAAAGCCTAATTCTGCACTTTAGTTTTTTCTAAGGGTCACTTTTTTAATAGTTCTTTTTTAACAGAACTGCCTAATTAATGGTGGTAAGTTCCACTTAATTAAAAGGAAAGTACACCGTTTCATCCTTTTTTTGCTTATTTCTCTTATTTTTCCACCTCATTCACCTCATATTTTTGAATAAAAATCGAATGTCAGTAAACGAATTCGAGTACTGAATTCCAGTTTCCCAAAAAAAAAAACTGTCAACTTATCACAATTGAGATTAACATATCGATAGCATTTTGTATACTTTATTTTTAGTTAAAATTATTGAAGTTCAGATAATTCTCTCACAACAATGCTTCATACTTTTTAAAATTCGCTAGTAACAGCTTCACTTTTCAGACAGATATGTCAAATATTAAGCATGTTTGTGTGCTCTAATTAACAGGAGAGTTTATGAACTTAATTAATTTTGCTGAAGTTGATGTTCTACAAAAAAATATACTGATTCCTTACTTGAAACCCTTTAATCAAGAAACCATCGTTTCTATTCAGAATCAGTGATTCTGAATTGTGTCCTAATGGTAAACGAAAACGTCGTGAGTTATTCAATGTTAGCAGAAAGAGCCTGGTTCTTAGAACGCCAAGGATCAATATCATTGACCTAGATGATACTACTCAAGGTACAGTACTCAGTCTTTGGTCTTTCTGAATAATTGTACTAGGATGATCCCCCAGAATTTGGTCAGAAAAACATATGATGTTGATTTGGCTCAATGCCCCAAGGTGTTATTTTTCATAAATAGTTATCGATAGGTTTGATCTGTTACTTGTCATTAAGGTCGCACACAATAAGTACATTCAGCAGTTTACCCCAATGTTTTTTGTCACTGCAGAACTCTTAAATCTCCCAGCAGACACACTGATGATATTTTTCGTCAAACTGTTTCATTTACTTCAAATTTTTGGGATTTACAAAGCAACAGAAATAAAGCTAGTCTGTTGTCAACTTCAAAATATATTTCTTGTTTAATTATATTAGTGGAGGGACAGAGAGTAAAAGATGCTGTGAAGGATTCTTATCTTTTATTAAAGTTTATTCAGTTGCTTAGCAGTTTCAATAATAAATAAATGTAGCCCATTCGGTTAGAAAATTTGTTTATCGACCCATCCACAACATACCAAAATTTCTATCTAATATCTATTCTTCCTGAATTGATCCGTCTGTACTCTTCCTGATTTCAAGATTGTTTGCAGCACTGGGAAAAGAGCAGTTAATTTTAAATTCCTCATTATCCGATAAACTGTCGCAATATTGCTTAACAGTGACTCGATTTACATGCATCATTGCAACTAGGACATTTTTGATTACTACTACAGTGACTCTCGTTGGTGCTTTCACTATCAGTTCCGATTCACGACATATCGGTACGCTTATCTAATTTGTGATTACATTTGTAATAAAATTCCAAATTCACATATACAATTCCCACATTATTATAGTGCAGCGCCTTCAAGTAGAATGCACGACACAAAATAATCCAACAAATCATTCAGGCCAAAAATCAGAGGATGTTGTTCACTAATTTATTAATAAAACCAATGAAATTTCAGTTGTAATATATCTTTCGCACATCCCATCATTAAAGTGAGGTTGCATATCAAGGCTGCTAATTGGATGGTTCGGAATTGTACTGAAAATCGTTTTTGCTATAGCCTTTAATAGCGATAAGAATTCAAGCCACCAATATTCAATGAATCATTAGTAGTTTGGAATGAATCAGCGTTCAATAAATCAATCATTTATGCATATAAATTACATGCAAATTGGTGAAGGCTGATAAAAAGTAATCTGATTCATTATGCTGAAAGTAGATTAGGAGCAGGTTAGGTCTAGCCAGATAATCTTTTAATGACATGAAAAATGACAATCATTTTATTCAACCAAAGAATTTTTTTATGCGAGACTTCTCATTTGAAATTTATATATGTGTATTACTTGCCCAAAGAACATACGGATAAGACTTCTTATTTTGTGTATTCTAAAAAATTCTAAATGGCATAATTTACGAAGATAATTACAGGCTTTTCCTTCCCTATCTGTTGGTTAAAAATCTTAAAACCTAAAAAATTGGTCTTCTGTTTTCATGAATTATCACTAATCCAGCAAGCTACTTTTTCTTCGCATTATATGACCAAGCATTTATTAGATAATAGTTGGGTTAGCCACATATCCTTAATTAAAAAATTCCAAAAATCCCAACAGAAACCTGTAAAAATAACCATTTGATCAAATGAATAACAAGGAGTGATTAATTTCGATTGACTTATAGCTTTTCCAGTAACTGAAACAAATTATAGGAGGGTGAAGATGAAAAGGACATTGCCTTCATAATTCGCTTCAAATCAGCTCCAATCAGATTTGAATACTTCCAATAAATCTATATTCTAAGGAAAGAAACGAACGAGATCAACAAAAGGTTTCTTTTTCTTTTATTGCTCTTTTCTAATTTTGCAAAATAGGTCACTTGAATTTTGAAATTTCGAAAATTTTTTTAGGTCCGATAAGTTCCTTTGAAGCTATTGCTACCAACATGATTCCAACATCGAAGATTCATAATGCTAGTAGTTGATATTAGTACTACCTCAGGTTATTTGTTTCAACAAGTCGATACTGTTCATCATTGTATTGCTCTCAGTGTTCTTCGCTAAATCACTAAGAATAGGATGCATTTCTCGAGTTTTTGTTGCAAAACTAAGTTTCAAACTGATATAATTGATTGTAAAAATGAGAAAGTATAAAGTCACTTCAAAGCAAAAATCCTTTAAAACGTGTAAAATATAGCGCACTAATCACTTCTTCTTATCCGCTGTTAAATTTTAGCTGGTAATGACAATGAGTACATTACTGTGCAGTTACCTCGAAATACCTAATTAAAGACCGAGATTATTCTATAATTCTAACCCGATTCTTCAAATGTTTAAGAAATTTTTTGTTCAAACCTCATTTGTTTAAAATCATCTATTAACTGATATATCCCATTCGTTACATGCAGTGATCAGAATATAGCATCAATATGCAAATTTATCTGCACAGCTCGATGTGTAATGTATTTCATTAGTCGTTGACTTTTCTTCCCCATCACTGAACAATCATTTATAATTGTGACAGTGTGATTTCGCAGCGGTCAGGCGGAAAACTTCTCTAATGATTTTGTACTAACGTGTTATATGGAAGGAGATGCACGACAACAGAGTGACAAAAGGGTGCAATTACTGCCTTCATGAAATATGATTCAGATTTTTTCGCGCGAGGAACTCTGTCAATTGTTTCTTTGTAAACGAGTTCTTATGTTATCATGAGATATTAAGAGTTATTTAGGTACAAATGAGCCAGTACTTCATTCCAGTTGATATTGATTACAGATGAGAGAATGAGAGATGAAGAAAGACCAATTATTATTAACATAGTAACATTCTGACTGAAAGACAGAAACATATCCAATTTAGCTATGAAATAGGAAACGTACTCACGTGGAAAAATACAAGTAATTATATGGGTACCAAGTAAATAAGGACAGAAGTGACTGGGAATACTCAATTTGAGAGCGAATTATTTTCAAAAGAGAAATAAAACTTCTAACCTTAATTCAAACTATCTTTTCAAACCATTAAAATGACAGAGGAAAAACAACAATATAAAGCTAACGATGATAAGTGCACAAGACATTTGGCAAATGGACAATCAATACTCTCATTCTTACAGGAGGTTTTACAGGAATTTTGAGTAGGGCGAAAGGTGTTTTCACTGATCTAGAAGCTGCAGCATAGGACAAAACATGCAGAATGTTCATCCGAAGAAGCACAATTTGCTTAAAACATACATATTGCTCAATTTTTCTTTTTTTAAAAGATCAAAATCAGATATTCCTATCATCCGAGAAACAATACGTTAGATAGACAGATTATGCAAGAAAATTAACGAATACCAGAAATACTCATTTTCCCCTCACTGCCAAATATTTCCGAAAACCTTTATGAAAGAAAGCCCTTTTTCTTGTGTTAGGTCAGTGTGGAGATATTCGGCAGTGACAATTTCAAAAAATATTTCCGTTTAATCTTGAGGAGAAATTCCTGAGCCCAAACAACTCTGAAAACGCCTTCTCCAGAAGTGATGAACCGTTCATCACAAACCAGTCTCAAATCAATGCTTCTTATTTGATTACCATGATGATAAGTGGTAATTTTTTTTGAAAAGTAAACAATTAAGTTACAACTTGGTTGTTTATCCATAAACTACTCCCATTTTTGAGCTATAATCCATACAGTGTTTATATATCAACACAAAGAAACTAGAGCATTGTTTCGATGAAATTCGAGATTGCAAGATATATAAAACTGAAGAATTCCAACATCTTGCTTTCAAGTCAGTCTTTGTTTTCAACTCCACAATCATAATTCACCAATGGCAAAATAAAGCAAACAAATCAATGAATTAAATTAAAAAAGATCAGATGGCTTTTCAGTATAGCAGTGCCATTTGACCACAGTAATTTGATACTATTGAAGTTTAATATGCCATAAAATATAATAAGACACCGATATGACATCAAAATTTATACAAAAAGATATGTTACACAAAAAGTACTTCTACTCCTAAATGTAAACTTGAACAGAAAACTTATAAATCTCAACTCGTACAATGGAACAGATTTTTCATCCTCGTATAAAAGTTCTCCAAGAAAATTTCATTTCAAACCCTTTATTTCCATTCAGTGAACCTCTATTCACCACAACCTTATCAAAAATCAAGCTAAATAGAGCAAAAAGGACGAATACAAGCAAGCTATAAGATTAATGCATTGGTATGTACTGCACTTCAACACAATTCGCCAGCAATTTACCTGATATTGTGGCCTCATTGGGTCGTTGAACAGTTCCATGTGGTCCAACATAAACATAAGGGAACCGTAGAATATAGTAACGAGCCCATTCCAAATGTATCGGCGCTTCTCCTGTATGGTATATTGGCTCTTTTGATGTTGGCTAAAAATATGGAATTTTTCAATTTTACAAGATGTATTAAACAAGATAAACACATTTTTTTATGAATCGTAGTAAGCATATTATCAAAAGCCCTCTCATTTATTAGTGAAAGTGAAGAAAACTAAACCTGAATACGAGGATTTAAGATGACAGTAACTGGAGCTTTAGGAGTGACAACATGGAGTCGCATCAACTGGGCACTTACTTGAGGCAAACGACGACATGTACATTTCGTCCACAGTGGTAAATCTGAACGAATCAAAGCTGATCCCGACTCCTGAAGAATCTCTGCATTTATGTGATTCATCTTTTAATATACAATCTGTAATTAAACAGCAAAAAAGGGAATGGGAAATACTAATTTATTAGGAAAGACTAGAATAAAAACGTGCTGTTCTCATTAGTATACTCGACATATAGCATAAAATTAGCTTAATCATAAAGTACAAGTAGACGTCCAATCTCACTTTTCTGAGAACATCTATATTTCGCTCCCCCCAATACAACCAAGCTCATAGATTACTTACGTTAAATTTCCTACAGCAGATTATTGTGATCTACTCAAGAAAAAATAACTACTAAAGTGACAATGGTAGGATTTAGATATTTACTCTCCTACAAAGAAGGAAATTTTTTTTTTTTAATCCATATGCCTTAGAATGAAAATGAAGAAATACTTTTGAGTTGGGTGCTAATTTCATTCGAGTGTTGGCATGCACATCCTGGATCATAAATCGGTGTCCTCGTGGACATTCGTATTCAAATCCAACAAACAACTAAAAATACATAAATAGACAAAGATATATAAAAAATAATTCTCACTTTGAAATTTCTAGTGTTTCTCGTCACAATACCGCGATAATTCCAGCCAAAATTTAACTTTCATGATTTAATCGGATTTGTATAACGATTGTCGATCAGTGAAGAAAAATTTTGAGTTAGAAATAATTTCATTACTACTTAAGATATGCTAGGAAATGTTGATGAAAAAGTAAGAAAAATTTATGTCAAGTCAAAAATTGAATGGATCTAAAATTCGGACTTTTTAATTTTTACTCCTGATAAAATTTGAAAAAATATTTCGATATCACTGACAAATCACCCAATTTTCAATTTCTACGAGTAAATACAGTACCTTCACTTTCTCACGATTGCCCTTACTGACTTTGATAGGACGCTTTGATCTCACACCGCATGAGTCGCCCATAATTTCCTTCATATCAATGTCCCATTTCTCAGGATCGATTGTTACAAAAACATCGACCGGTAGAAGAAACTGCGTCCCATTTTTGAAGTTCGGCATATCACGAAGACCAGCTTTATGACTAAACTAATCAAATTTTATTAACTGATTAACCACTTAATTGACCACATTAATCAAAAGCTAATCAACCACCGCGAAGACCTAATTTGATTGGATAAATCATAAAACAAAGGAACCTGTACAAACTTGACGCACCCAGACATAAAAGTGACCATGAAGGAAAAAGAGGCTTTCTAGACGGCGATTCTGTATTTGGGACACATTCCAAAAATTGACCTGGGAAAAATTCTTCACCAAAAAATAACACATCGATTATGAAAAACAAAGTTCGACGGCTACATTGTGGATGCGGAAAAGTTAGTCTGACCGCGAAATTTCGAAATTGCCCATAGATGATAAAAAGAACAGAAAAGCCTGTAAGTGGACGTAAAGAAAAAGAACAAATCCATACCTTTGCATAGTTTCCTTAACTTTACCAATTCTTCTTCAAAGTTCATAGCGGAGTTATCTAACTTATCAGAATTCTCTATGTCCGGTTCTCGTAGCTGTACATCATCATCATCAAGATATGAAACTTGTGCCTCAGCTTCTGGAATAGTCTCTTCATCTTCCTGCGACCATGATTCATAATCATCCATATGCTATAAATTTTCGCGCTTAGAAATATGCCAATAAAAAAAATCAATGTGGTGAATGAAAAAAATCAATGTGGTGAATGATTCTTCATCCTGAACAACTAATCTTTATTCAAAGCTAAAATTAACCGCTCGATGCCGCCTCATTCCTAGAAATTGTTGCTCAGCTTCTTCTGCTCTAACGTATTCTTCCTCGTCCTCTTCATCATTATTCTCCAGTTCTTCAGGTGTTTGTCCTTCACCACACTTTTCCGTTCCTGACGATATCGAAACTTTTTTTCCTTCTAATTCTTTCTCCACATCATCAATATCCGTACCTCCTGCTGAAATATTAGAACCTTCATCATGACGGAGATTTTAAAAGGAATTTTGGAAAAAAATAAGAACCTTAAAGCTCTTTTATTTCGATTATATTTTCCACAGTTTAATTAAAGAAAATACATGTACAATTAGGAATTACAGAAATTACTTATGCTCACATCAAATCGAAATAAAAGAACTTTTACTTTTGAAAGGCGATTGTATACTCTCGCGATGCACTTCATCATCTTCTAGGGGATTATCACGATCCAATAGCATTTTCAAATCGTCTGAAATATTTCGAATCACAACAATTCAACACTAAGCACTTCTTTCAGATAAGCACTTCTTTCAGACCGAAAAAATATCCCATATCATGTAGTTATTTGGGCTTTAAAAATCATTTTTCCAACAGGATGCTTCTAAAAATCATCAAAGAAAAAAAAAATCATAACATCAGAAGTGCGATTACTCTCTCCTATCGATGTTGTAGAAAATTCGGAAGAACTATGTTCTGGATAAACTGCTGATTTTTGCGATTTATCCGGCAAACTTTCTGTATCCAATGGTCCTTCATTAATATCATCATATTTGAAAACTTCAAATTCATATTCTTCCATATTTTTGCAACATGTGAATTGTGACTGCATGTAGAAATCATGATTGGCTTCCTGCAACAATGGGATATTCTTTAGATATTCTTATTCATCTACGAACTCGAAATGTTGCTGTTTTTGAGATTTATATCACAGATACTCAAGTAAAATGTAAGATTATATAATTATATCCACAAACTCTCTCAATTCAATTGAACTGCAAATAAACCCAGTAAAGTACACTAGATATGAAATATAAATAACGAAAAGAAACAAAACGAACACGTAATGAAAACGGATCATTGCGTAATGCCTGTGAATGCCCACAATTACATGTAGAAAGAAAACGGGCTCCACTTGAGTGAGCAACTCGTTTTGCAGCCGGCACTTCTACGTCCGACAAGGAATAATGAACCTGAAAAACTATATAGAAGTTATCTCTTGTAAAACATTAAAAACTAAACACTAAAACTATTTATTTAAAAGTAAAATTCCTAAGAGCTTTGAAAGAGATTTACTCCATATGGACTTGCATTTAAATCGAAAATTAGATTATTAATCTTCAAATACAACGACACTTCAACGCATCTGTTAAATTCAATTAAAAACTTTTATTGATTTCTATCAAGTAAAGAAGCTTAATTATCAGGAATGTACTAAGCACAAAAATTTCTTGCACATGGTAAAAAATCACAAAGGAAATGTTAAGAGTCAGCAGCACTAATATTATTTAAATAATTTTCCACTTACATTTCCAGAAGCCAGTAGGCTTGCACAAATTTTGCATGAACTCTTCTGACTATTTGTAGAATAATTTTTGAGACATAAGAGCAGCTATTATAGAAGTTCTTGCTGTAGAATTTGCTCGAATATCACAGTTTTTACCTCACGTCCGTGCTCAAATAACTTACCGGTAGAACACACTCATTCCCAGTTAGGGAGACTATTTCACATGCTTTTTGAGTAGCCCATACAGCCTCGCATTCCTGCTTCAGTTTTTCTTTAACCTTTTCTATTCTCGTACCATGATAAATGCATTCCAGATGTTCCACTGCACGTGTCAACTAAATGACTCTATTAAAATTTTCTCTTAACGAGTTCTGTTGGTCATTCCTTAGCAAAGCCTATATCCTTCTCGTTTTTCATTCCTCCAATGAAATCGATAAGTAATTTTAAATAGACTTAAATATTCTAAACTACATCTCCACGGAAGGTTTTTCCTCAGCATTACAAAATGGTAAAACCAAAGTTGTCGGAAAGATGGACTGCATAACATCTCATATTTAAAACCTTAGCTTCATGTTCCGCTTTCGTAAAAACCTGTGACTTTCGTTTTTCGAAATCACGCATATCCTTATTACAGCTTTGATATACTGCTTTAGCCTGTCCGATGTAGGTGCCTTCCATGCTAAAGTATTTTATAGTGATACATCTTGTGTATCTTTATCATTTAATAAATTTTATGATTAATTTCCTAAACAATACAGACGACGATGACTACAAGAAAAACGATAGTGAAAAAAGCAAGTGAAAAAAGTATTGGAAGTTTTATGCAGTTTTATGCTTGCTCTTGAGAATACATAAACTTCCGATGTTAATAAAAGTCGAAAAATCTCGACTATAAGTATGGCAACGTAAAAAATACGTTAGAAAAAAGCGTAAAAGTAATTTTAGGAGCAGAAATTAAATTAAATTGATTTGGAAACAAACGATTATAATGGATTCCATTGAGAAACAGAATTATGACTTTACCTTTTGGAAAACTGCAGTTCAAGGCTACTAAGTTTGTATATTTTCTCATCATTGAAGATTCGTATTTGGAATAACTGATCATAAACGATTTTTCCACCAATCAACAGCCACTTCAGTTTAGGTATCTGTCAAAATTAATGTTACAAAGAAAAAAAATTAGTGTTAGAACTGAAGAGAACCTTAAAATTTAACTGAGAGGCCTTTTTCATGAAACCCCAGCTGTAAATGTAACTTATTAATTATTGAGAAAAAGCAGCCAAAACAGCAAAAATTTCGTGAAAATATCTGTGTAGAAAAAAGAACTTCATAAAGATATCTCCTCCTTTCCTCATCCTGTCGCACGAGACAGATATGAGACCGCAGAAATTCACCAAAATCACTGCTTCGCTCTTCCTTCTCTGCAATGACTCCTCATAAGAAATTAATCTCGTGAATTGAATGCGGGTGATAATTCAATGACACAGCAAGAAATTTGAAGATAAAGAGAAATACAATAAATATTTACGAATCATTTATAAGAATGTTATAAAGCATTAAACCACTAAAACTGATGATTATCATTCGATAAATAGGGATTACAAGTTTCCTATACAGTTTATTTGATATGCCTGGTCCCTGCATAGAAGTAAGCAAAGTTAAATAATAATAAAGAGGCACTTTGCTGTCGCTGTTGAAGTAGTGGAACTCGAATAATTATTTCCAAACAGTTGCTAAATCCATATGCCTTCAAATCCAGCAAACTTTTCTACTAAACTATTTCCTTTATATATGAACGACAGAACTTATTGCAAACCTCAGAAATGTAGAGAAAGTAATCACAGTCTTACTCTTACCAACAAAATCTAATCATTACCCTGCAAAGATTCAAAATAAACAAGCAAAATAATACCACTTTTTTCAGTTCCGTCGTTCCCTTCTTTACTGTTGCCTCGTTCAATAAGCATCAATAAACTGCCACGAATAACATCATGAGATGATTCTGCAGCCGAAAATAAGTAAACAAACTGTTCCACAGACTTCGGTAAACTACATGCGCAATCCCTGAACAGTATGACTCAACTTTTGCTTGTTGCTAGGAATCCCACGTTTTGTGAAAATAAACAATTAAAAAGGACGAAGCTTGACTGCCCAATTCTTTTGAACATTATTTTGTCTTCTTATTTCATCTTAAAGTCTTCGCGACAAGATTATGGGAAAACAGTTACATTTTGTGAATTCAATTAAAAATGAAAGGGATACTTATCGCTAGTTGCAACCAATCCATATATTTGCATACAGCGATATATTTGTTGTTCTAATTTTTCCACCAGTTTGCCCTTCAGTTCTCTCTGAATAAAACAAAATTCCGAAAAATTTTAATATTAGGAGCCGAAGCCGCATCTACTGATCAACCTTTCTTTTAGAATCATTCATTGTATTTCGAAAGCAACCACCGCATCATACAATCACCGGAACACCAGAAATATTAAATGGAAATTGAAAATTACTACTCAATTTCTAATTTAGGCTTCATTTTCCCGCTTAGATTTCTTCGTAGAATTCCTTTCTGTAAGTATAAAAAGGTCTCCTAGTGCCTAGAACGTTGGTACAATGTAGTAAAAAATTCTTTCAACATTTTAAACTATATTAAAAGATCTGTTCATTCCACAGCAACTAATTTCGACGGAGGATTACTTATCACATGAGTTGCTGCAAAAGTTAGACATTCTTGCAAATAAATGGAAAAAAAATTGAAAGATCGGAAATGGACAAACCTTTCGACTGGAATTTAAGTCACCTCGCAGTAAATGACGGTGGAAGGCAAACAGGCAGCGCGGTTGAGCCAAGCGTCCTTCAGCAGACCAGCCCTGTGGAAAACCCGTAATATTTGCTAGTTTCATCCGAATTTCTCTTTGACAAAGTCGTCGAAGTTCGTTGGCTCGTTTCAAATCACGGCAACAGTTCTGATCAAATCGACAACCTGGTTCCATGTAAATGAGTAAGTGCGAATAAAGCAAGAGAAAGGTCAGGCAACGTGCATAATCGATTTCTTGCTGCGAAAGAAATTCGAAAAAATCCTGAAATCCATAAATTTTATGTGGACTGAAATCTGGACCGTATATATTTATTAACAAAGGGTGTTTTAAGTTCTGAATGAGTTACAATGAATCACGCATAAATTCACATAGCTTTCCAAAAGCATTCAAATTTTATTCGAATTTAATACTTCGCCACCAGATTAAACTTGAGCAATGAAACATGAAATCATAACTTTTTTCGCGGAAATCATTTGTAGATAATAAGAAAGTATTAAAACTGGTTTTTTTAGAGGATTAGCCACAATGCTTACTTTTCCATCATCATCATTATTTCGTACAAAATGTTCCAGGGAACACAAATCACCATAACCAGAAAGATGCAAAAAAAGAACCGACAATTCCGATTCGTAATAAGCTTCAATCTAAAATTGTGTCAGTTGCATCAAAAATGAAACGAATATTTAATTTAGACAAATCTTGGGTTTAGAATCACTAAGATTTCTCATTATGCTTCCCGGTAGTGATGTTAATGAGCGAGACATATAAAGCTGTACACATTAGTTTTCTGAAGAATAACAGTGTCAATCTTGTAATTATTTTGTCTGTCAAATAGTTAAAGTGGTGATTGTTCAATACATATCCGTTATGTTGCAAAAAATCGAAACCTCAAGAAAATTTGGAATCTAGAATTCTAATAACTTCTAAAAAGTATAAGGTCATACAAGAAATACTCTACTTTCACGATTCGGAATCGTACGAAATTAATTACTTACCGAAGCAGTACTGCCTTCTAGAGGAATTCGTTGAATGAAGACTGGACGTCCTAGTAAGTGATTGATAGGATCGGCTTTAGAACAATCACTAGAAGCTTTTCCAAGAATCCCGACAACAACGACACGCCTTTCTTCGAACATAGCCAAATTGTAAGCCGACTCAGTTAGCCATTTCGATAATGATTCTGCAAGTCCATTCCTCATCCTATAATAATATTTTCCATCATGCAAATAATATATAGCGTGATAATTAGCAATGAATACATCGTAACGAAGATAAAGGAATGCTTTATCATTCAACCTTGGATCAAAACAGTGCTACTTCAAGGATATCTTTGAATTAACAAATTATAAGTGATAATTAAATACTGATGAACTTATTCTGACCCACCAACAGGCAGATGAAAGACACTCTTACGCCTCCTAACTCGATTTTTCATTTGTAATGATATCAAAAAGGATGTGACCAGTATCGGATTTCATTTCCTTTAATTTTATTGAAAAGGAAAAAGGGACAACGAAAAAAAAGACAGAATTACTCAGTGGAGTTAGCACATTTTCATAAACAATACATGTCTAACGCTTTAACCAATTCAGCCAAATATGGCATAAAATTTTAAGCCAACCCAACAAGAATGACATACCACAAGACCATCATACTACTACACTACTGCCAATACTTTGCTAATTTGCAAATCTCATTACTCTTTCGCGTCTTCACTCCCACATTCCTTATGCTATTTTCGATTTTTTATTAATCTCTGCTTACTCCACAAAAAGCGTATGTTTCCTAGAGTGTGATTGCAGTTATATCGACGGATCTGTTTCAAGAAGTCGCGCGTGCTTCGTCCAATTTCTCGAATAGATTACAACTTACCAATCAACAAGAAATAATTTAATTTTAATTTATTTCAGAGTCTTCTGACCAGTCAGAACTATGGATGGTCTCCTTTTTACTATCATTTCTATCATTCTTTTATCATTATATTTTCATTAGGAAAATGATAATATGATAACATTTCCTCTATTATTCTTCATCTTTCGGACAAATATAATATCATCAGCACGGATTTCTCCCTTTCAATGGACTTCTGGTCATAAATTTGCTCTGTAATAGGACTAGAATGAAGTTCAAACCTGGAAACCACAACTTGAATCATCAGTGCAGAATGCAGATATAAACTGCAATTCATCGCTGAACACGAGCTCGATGTTCTATGAATAAATATCGTTCAAAATTCCCAGATACGATAGTTATTTCCAAAGATTCGCTATTATGAGGAAATGAGAATGAATAGATAATGAAATCGATGCCATTTTTATTTTGCATCTCTGCTAGAAGTGTGACTTGAACCGTCCTGTTTTTATATGTCGTCAGTTTTTGTCGTAAAGAAACGATCAAAAGTAAGTATAAACTGTTTCCTTTGAGACTATGATGGGATGAACAGATGAAATGAAAATATATGTTGCCAATTTCCCAGGCCTCATTGAAGACTTGTCAAAATTTAGTGTCCTAAATTACTTACAGTAAAGGCCAAGGATAGCATAGGACATCCTCCCATCATTCTTATTGAAAACTGTGTTGGTAAAAGCTTTTCGACTAATCAGGGAACCAATAACATTGGGTAGTCTGTATTACTAATTCGAATACGCCTAACTTGGAGAGGGATTACCATTTCAGTATAAATTAATTTCACATTTATATATTTCAGCTTGGTCTGGCTTGCAGTCATATTTCGCAATTGTGAAGATGTTTATGTGCAGAATGTGCTTCGATTGTATATTATATTTAGCAATTGACAACGATTAATTCTGGAAGGATACATAGTCTCGAGGTAGTAAGGGCACTCTTTCATTAATTTCATCTTCTGAATACTGTATCGTATTCATTATCTCAATGGTGTGCGACTGGCCAACACCTGAAAGCTTCACCAATTATGTTTTATAAGGAATGTGGATTAATCTACCTGTAGACTTATTAATCTACCTGCATAAATGAAGTATCGATCTGCATCTTATTTGATTTTCAAATCGGTAAAGATTTGAAAATAAATTTAAATTTACAAAAGGAGATTAACCAAAGCATTTTTTGCATTTCTTGTTTGACTTCTTTTAGTTTCTTTTCTTTTCCGTGGGAAAGATACTTTATTCCTTAAAGCCTAAAAAAATACTTTATCTTTTTCACCAAGTGGGAATTTTGTTTTCGGACTAACTTAAAATTCTCTCATTTTCTAAAATTTAAAAAATGCTTTTGTGAGGAGGGTGTCGAAATTTCATGAAAACCATGAGTACCAACATTTAGGTCGGAATTCCAGCTTATCAGTCTTGACAAATAGTGCTCTAGATAGTGGCGATCGTTGCCCATCCTTGAAACAGGCCGTGGCGCAGAACATATAGAACCAATCATAACGTAAGTCAGGAAAAACTATTCGTTGTCCACGCACTGTGATCCGCTCCCAGACCGAGAAATGAGCATTGGGATTTTCCGTATAGTAAACAATATAGTTCTGAAAGATGTCCCTTTTTAAGGTTAAGTCTGGTGAAGTCAGGTCATGTCAAAATCTCTATGAAGAGAGTTGAACTGTTTGCCGTTTGCTTTAATTTTATAGTATCTTGGAACGACATTCTTATGCTCTCAAAAAAATATACGTTATTTTGAATGTCATGCGAGGATTTTAATTAATAAAATGAACTGATCAAGTTCCTTCAGACTATTTATATTCCGTATAATTTATTGAATATGCTTTCAAAGTTGCAATATTACAGAATCCGCTAAAATATACCATAACGTCTCTAGTGCGCTTATAAGGCGGTTCCCATGACAGCTCGATGGTGTTCGCATTCAGTCGTTGGGCCAAAATATGTTGTGGACTAAGCTGTGGCTCTGCAACATATTACTACTCAACTTAGAGGTTGCATAAGCTTTTCACTATATCAAACTTTCCGTTTTTCAATTTGTATTACATTTCTGTTACTCGACAATTTCTAATTTGAATGTTTTAAAACTGTTTTTTAAACTCAGCATTTTAGTCATTTTAATCAGCGTTCTTGCGAATCTGTAAGAACTGTTTTGAAGTAAATTAAAATAAATTCGGAAAACTGATTTATTAGGCGCAAAAATTGCGGAATAATCTGCTCTTGAATTGATTTCTATTTTATAGATCTAAAAACATTTTTGGATTTTTCAAAAAGAAATGAGGTAATTTCACATACTTTTCTTCAAATGTTCTCAATTTCAAGATCAACCAAATTTCATAAACTGGCCAAAATTCGAGGAATTTATAGTAGAAAAACTTTAGGTACCTGTATACTGCACTAGATAGACTGGTTTGCTTTCACCATAACGTGAAACAGCTGTGATACGGAATTCATACAAGGAACACGAATCAACGCTCATAATTTCTGCCGAATGTCCTTGAATGCCACGTAGTTCACGCGTCTTACTGTCTTCCTGATGCCTAAATTAAGTCCAAAAGATCGTTCAATTTCAAGTTTAGTTCTTTTCTATAATAAATTCAGAATCTAATCTTTCTCACTCAATCAAATATTACTATACAAACTTGATCCGGTAACGTATGTTGTAAGTAACTTGATCGTCAGCAGAAAATGCTGGTGCCCATGCAAGCCGGACCGAATAAGCAGATGTGGAAACAACTTGACATTCCCGTGGTGGATCTGGTGGCAGACGTGCAAACATAAATTCATCATCTGTTACTAAAAATGGTTTTAATAAATATTTTTCGAACTTAAGGGAAATTGAAAGAATAGAACTTTCATTTGCCAATAACCGACAAACCACTCTATGATTTCAATAGGATTAACCCGTAATAAGTGCGAAATCTGCATTGCGATACAACCTGAATTATTTTTGGAATAATTAAAACTTACACATGTGTGGCCCGCGTTTTTGGAGCTTTCTACTCATTCGTCTTCTGGCCATCGCACCCATATGATTATTACTATGTTCGAATATCATACCTTTCGCTAATTCCAAAAGTATACTTGCAGTTGCTTGTCTTCGTCGCCTAAATTTCTGTATAATTCATACATTATGAGGAGTCAGCTTGTGAAGGATAAATAACAAAAAATGAATAGAATACTTCTTTGACAATAAAATACTCCTCAGATCATGTGCAACTACTACTGAATGATCACTTGAATGGTTAACAGTGAAACAATCAGTACATTATATTGGCGAAGTTATATCATTTGCAAAAATGTTTGGTGGTAAAAAACGTAGGGAAATGAAAGGGTGAAAGTTTATATCAAATAAAATAAAATGTTGCAGAAGATTAGCCATACTGTAGCAACAATGATTTAATTAGTTCGAGAAAATAATTTCATGAGAAAAACACATATGCACCTTGCTTTTGCTTCACGAATCAGAAAGAAGGGATTATTCGTTTGGATTTTACGACCAATGTAATGAATCTCCTTTAGATACATTCGACCGACCACATCCATGCACATTGTTGTCAGAATTATGCCACCCATGATGACACATAAAACTACCAGCATATTTTGCTGTTCCGGACGATAATCACCGAAACCTGTATTCAACCGTATTTCTCTAATTTTTGTCTAAGTTGCTAAAATTAATTATTGATTTTTTTAATAAATAACCACTGACATCAATCTCATATTGTCATTCATTTGTTTAAAACAGTAATGGTAGTTAACCGATTAATTTTCGTTTTAATATTTTTCGAGTTCAGAAAAAATATACTAACCAACTGTCAAAATACTGATAAATGTGAAATACACTGATTCAGTGTAAGTCCAGTGCTCTTTCTTTTGAATAATATATGAGCCGAAAAGTCCATATAAAAATACAAGTAAAAATAAGATCACCGGTGGAAAACGAACAAGTTTTATTTTATCCAACAGTTCCTGAAATTTAAGGATTGAGAGTGAAGCGAAAAGTGACAAGTGAGGGAATTTTTGATCCTTAGGCACGGTCCTAATCAAATTTAGCATATCAATATATTCGATAGATGGACAAGCGAAAAGCTTAATGCCAGCACATGTTTTTTTATTATATCTACTTAAATAATACTCGTTGTGCAACAACACTGGAATATTTTAAACACAATCTTAAGTATTGTTGCAATGTGAGAAACTCTTGAGATAAGAGTGATGAGCATAACCTTTGTGGTACTTCATTTTGACAAGAAGTAGGGTCACTTGATGGTTAATTAATATTTATCAGTTGACCTTTTAGGACCATTAAAACAATAATCTAAAGGGAAAAATTGGAGTTTTTAAACTTGTTCATCTTCGTTCTCGTCAAACATAGGTCGAAGCTCGTGAGTCTTATATCCTTTCCGGTGATCCCTCCATGACATTAACTTTTTCCAGCAATTGTAATGGATTAAAAAAGCGCATTCTGATATGAACTTAGCAATGTTGGCCACTGTAACTAGTGTTAATGGGATTCCTGAAATTTGATGCAAGTAATAGAAATTTAATTCGGAAAAAGGAGGTTAGAAAATCTCAATGTTCAATCCTGCTGATAGTTCCACTTATATCACCGGACTATTTTCGAGGTATTTATATTTAAAGTTAATCATTAACCAAAAATTTCATGTCACAATTACCGATGAGACAGTAGATGACACCAAATAAGCGCCCACAAAATGTTGATGGTGCAACATAGCCATACCCAATTGAAGTGAGCATCGTTGCCGTAAAGAAAAAAGAAGTAATGAAATCCCAACATGGAGCATTCGTATCGTAGCCATGTCGATATTTAAGATGGGCAGTAAATACCGTATCCACGTACTGCAATGCGCCACTAAAGTCACAAAAGATTTGCTATCTTGGATATCTTAGAAATACCGTAACTTTTGATCTTAGAATGCGATTCAGTTATTTTGTAAATTTTAGACAGATCAGTTGAGTGAATTACTTTATAAAATTGTTCTTTACTGTCTCGTCTCAGTATTTCCTTCAACTCTGATCTGCCCGTTTTTTGATATTTTTTTGGAATGTGTTAAATCCCAAATTCGATCTATATACTTCTCCACGCTTACATCGATCCTGCTTAGCTGGGCCGCTTTCATGTCCTAAAATTACCAGCTATGCTTTTTCAACAGTGACAACATTAATTGGATTATTTTAATGCTTATGTAACTTTTTGTGTTAAATTAACCTCAGTAAAGTGTATTTTCATGTATATGAAAAGATTTTTATTTTAAAGAGAACTTCTTTAATTA